ATAATTATTTTTGTCAATTGTACCGGGAAGTCCGAATCAGTACCAAAAATATTGGTTGATGTTCACTCATAACCTATAACCCATTATTCGTGATCTTATTTGGTAGAACCATTTCAAGTATGAGCGAAGTAGTCTGTCCATTGCATTTTTTCTGAGAAAAATGTACTTGCCTGTATGTTTTGATACTTTGAGTAAATATTCTTATGAGTACCTACAATCATTTTGCTTCAGAAGTAATAAGTATAGAGAGCGCATGGAAAGACGTTGGTTGTTAAATTTCAAGTGCCTTGGTTTTGCAATAAGATTTCTAATAATCCTGCAAAATTTTATTGATTTGAATAATGTATAATTTTTCAATCAGTTTTAATTTGTAGTACAAGATATTGTTAATGAACGTAAATTTAAATACATCGTGATCACATTATTTGATTCGTGAATTGTTATTATTTAGTGAAATTTAGCATATGTTACCAAGTTATATTACCTTTTGTAAAGGTAGATACTACTACTTTAAGTATTTTCGTATGTATATATGGTGTCTCAGGTTTAACTCGTCTAACTCTGACAATCGATAGCAAAAATTAGAATATTACACACGTATCATTTTGATTTGTCGTTTAGACACTTGTTTTCATCATACGTGGTGTTGAAGTTCGCACAAATTTCAGGTTTTTATTTGTTTTTCTGTTGAAACAAAACCAAGAAATTTTAAATTTGGTAAGCACTTTTCTGTCTGCCATATGAACAGTCCTTATCAATAGAGAGGACTCAGCTACACTGGGTGTTATTTTTTCATATCCATTGATATGTAACCCTACAAATTTCTTCCATTGGGACGCTAATGGTCAATTATAGCTAATGATTATTGCTATCTGCCCTTCATTTGTTCTGATATCCTCCTCAGTTTCCTTGTTATTTGAAATAAAGTTATACTATTCATAACAGTGTTTTAACCTGAACGTTTATCTTACATGAAATTATCATTCGAATTGAATATTAAATGGTTGACGGACACGAAAGATATAGGAACAAATGAAAAACACAAAGTGTGGTGAAGAAGTAATAATGATTTTCCTTTAGGTTCAAACCACTACTAGTGTCCCAATGAAAATTTTTAATGAGTTCCATGTCAGAGGACTCGAAAAAGAATAACGACCAGTGTATTCAATCGATAGGACTGTTCATATTGGCGAAAAAAAGTGTTCACCGAAATTCAGATCGCTAGGTTTTGTTTCAACTGAGATAAATAAAAACCAAAAATTTATGCGAACTTTAACACCCCGTAAAATGGAAACAAGTTTCTCTATGACTAAACAGAAAAATACGTATCTTATATTTCGATTTTTGGTATCGATTCTCAGAGTTAGACGAATTAAAACTGAGACACCCCACCCCGTATACATATAATGTTCTCAATTTTAAAATATTCCATTTGTTTCATAAAAAATATGAAAATGTTTGTATATAGATTATCCAAAATTGATTTTTAGACAAATAAAATGCCATTCGCTAGTAAAATTTTGTTTGATTAGTAAAATATAACTTTTTCCTAAAATCCTATATTACTAAGCTAAATGTACGTGGTCATTCCTAGTTGACTCTCTGCTGAGCGATATTTCCATTCTGGGGATGGATTTTTAATGTTATGCAGACGATTTAGTCTCAATTACGGGAAACATTTTGAGCGATGATCTCAAACGTTCTTCAAGAAGCCCTTAATACTGTACAGGGTTGGCCAAATTGAACACTTAAAGAGAAAGTCCTATTCCCATGTACTAGATAGTGAAAAACTGATGTTGGTGCCTGTTGATCAATTCATATGACAAACTCAATGGTGAAAACTGCATATCGATATCTATCTTCGTTTCAGAGTAACAAGGTGTTTTTCGAAAATAAGAATCATCAAAAAGTGCTGAAATAGAACTTTTCCTTCAAGAAGAACAAGTTATCTTCTAAAACTAGATATAGGAAGGCCGATTCCAGTGCCTCAGGAATGATTTTCATCACAAACTCAATGCTTTGCTGTTATTTTCAGTGAACAATTTTTGTAAAAAAAATGTGTTGCCACTTTTAAAACATTCCCATTTTCGAAGTCAGATATCGATAATATGCGATTTTCTCCATTGAGTTTTGAATGAGAACCGTTCCACAGACACCGACATCAGTTTTCTTTTATCTATTTGGAGAATAGGACTTTCCCTTTAAAAGTGACAAATTTGGCCCACCCTGTACAGAATCTATGTGTACAGGCTGTGTCCCATTTTCGATGTCCTCACGAGATATCTCACATATTTTTGAAGATTGAGCTTTGCGGTTTTCGCGAACGTTAGCTTTAGCTTCAGTTTTTTGTGAAACTAGCGATATCGCAAACGAAATTTTCAATCATTATATAAAAATAAAAGGATGCCTTCTTTTCTACAGTGTTCTAATGATCTAATGAGGTCAAAGGATAAGTGAGAGTGAAATCACCCACCAGGCGAATGGCTCTTCTCTGAATGGAATCAAAGAGCATCATCGTAGGTTCGGGTGTTTAACCCCATATGTGAGAACAGTATTGTGTGTTGTTGAGGTGTAAAGTAGGTATTTTCGCACGGAATTAATGAAACATAGATATAGTGGTCGTGGTGAGAATGGTGCTACGAGACAATGTTATATCAGGCATATTATGTTCTGCCTTTCTAGAGAAAACGAAAGCGAGTTTAGGTGGCGTTGAAATCAACTACCCATATAGCACTCGACGTTCTGGGGACGTCCATTTTAGGTCCGATTTAGGTCTGAACGTCCGGGACTTTTTCAAGACGTACTGAAAACGCCCATTTCTAGACGTACTGGGTACGTACGATTCTGATGTACTGAGTACGTCCAACTTTGGAAACTCAGCGCAAAAATCTACTATTCTAAGTGTATCGCATGGTTACCATATTTATCGTTGAGCCAACTCCTGTAAATATCTATGTGATTTCTGCAAAAAGTGTGCCCACGACCTCATTCAAGTACAGATTACCTAATATATATAAACAAAATTATAACTAACAAAAACACTTGATATAAAATTAAGGAATTACCAGTCATATCAATACAGGGTGAGTCAGAATGAAATCGACAAACTCCGTATACGCATTCCTTTTGTCTCATTTTGAAGTGAAAAATCCTATCAACGTGTATGCATCCTCTCTGAAATACAGGGGGTGTCGCAAGTGTCTGGAGAAAAGAAAAATAAACTCGGTAGGTATACTACTATTCCATAGATTAATCAATGTAATCACACGGAGTTTCCATTTTTGTGATGAATTGTGATTTCCATAGTGGCTACATTTTCCTCAATATTTCTTCGTAGACTGATTAATGGTCAGTTCATAGAAATAACTTATATTTAATTTTAACTTATCTTAAGAGTTCAAGCATTCCTTTCACTAAGATGCGTTCATAGAATCACATTTAACAAATATTCAATTTAGTCCATTCCCTTATGGAAAATAGAGCTGTTGAAATGAATTAAATATAAATTGAATATAAATTAAATATAAATTGAATGTAAATTAAATATAAATTGAATATAAATTAAATATAAATTATATATGAATTAAATATAAATTAAATATAAATTAAATATAAATTAAATATAAATTAAATATAAATTAAATATAAATTAAATATAAATTAAATATAAATGAAATTCTATGAACTGACCATAAAAAGCAAATTGGTGTGTGACAGCAGTATAAAGGTATGTTCATTCCGCAAAATGTATGCGAATAATATGGCGACTGCGAATATCGCAATGAAGTTGAAATATTTGAACTTTTTTGCGAATTCGGATGGAATCATAACCACATAAAATGTATTGTTATTTTGATAACATCAAAATTGGGGAATTAGAGAGCGGACTGCAGAGGTCGAAAAAAGACGAGACTAGACTCTATACTACAGGTAAGTACAGAATTATAATTGAAAATTTCATCATTTCTTCATTTGATTAAATTTTCTTCGCAGGATTGATTCTCTGGACGAATTAATTTTAAAGTATCATCTGTATCGTCTCTATAGAACTAATGATGTATCCAGAAGCATAAAAAGGAACTGTACTGTTCGAAGCATTTTTAAATGCCGAAAAATGAATGGAGATTAGTACAGACTCGTTCGATGAATGTCACTGAATGACCCTAATACATATATTTACTTTCGTGTAACGTCCCTTCAATTTGATGAACTTCTATCAATGGTGGGATCAGAAATAAAGAAATTAATATCACAACAGAACCCTTAACTCCTGCATATTTTGTCGCAAAGTAATCATTTCCTGAGATATATCAGAAAATGTCTCAACCTCCTGAACAACAACAACATTATTCTTGAATGTTGAGAATATCGTACACATACGGGTGAGTCGATCAGAAGTAGGTCGATAAACCTACCTACTGTTTTTCCACACGTTATAATACAAGGTGAACAGTTCATATTGTATTGAGTACCTGTTTGAGATACTATTTTGTTGCATATGTGAACAAAATTGAGCATTAAAATTTTTTCCTTCAACGCGTATTATAACAATATTATCTCAATACATTTCTTCAGTTTTTTGCAAATATCTCAGGAACCTCATCTACATTTAGGCATCATGTGAAATGCTACGTAACTACGCCAATGGTGATCAGAATCTAAAAATAAAAACTCCATGTGACTACATTGATTAATCTGGAATAGCAGCAGGTATATCAAGTTTGACTTTCTTCCTCCAAGGGTCCGGAGAAATAAATATAAACCTTGACTTTTTCCGTACTTTTGACACCCTGTAAGTATCTCAAAGAGGATGTATTTCAGGAAAAACGTTGATAGGGCTTTTCCACTTCAAAATGAGGTAAGGATCAAACCGGTAACGGCGTTTGTCGGTCTTATTCTGATTCACCCTGTATATCCGAATTCGGATTATCATTGATTCATTTTGACAAAATGTAAACAATAAGTATTCATGAACTTTGGATACGAAATTATACACAACAGTCGCCGTATAATGATTTTGGCACTTACTTTAATCGTAATTATTGTCGTAACAATTTACAACTTCAAGGTAAATGTTCAGTCAGACAGTGAAAGGTGCATTCATCGTAAGTATTTCGAAACGTGAAAAAATAACTGTTGAAATAATATAATTATGTTGCTCATGTGCTCAGGGAGTAACTATAGTTCAAAAGAGAGATATAATTTAGTTACTTCCTCTGTGGAAAATAGTATATTATTCAACGAGTATATAATAGCTCATTATATGCGAGTAGAATACTATACTTTGTCCACGAATACTATTGTTTTCGATTTATAAATTTCTGTTTTATCAATACACTCATTTGACATTATGAGAAAATTGAAAATTGAAGAAAAAGGTTATATTAATTCTTTGTCCACGACCATTGTATACTTTCTCAAGCAAAACGATAGCCACTTTTCACACCAGTGAATAATAGTGGTGAATAACTATTATTCACTGGTCTGAAGTTTCTTATATAATACATCGCGTACCCTAGAGTTCCTTGTATATAATATATCGCGTACCCTATAGGAACTATTTTGCTTGAGAAAGTATATGAGTATTTTATACAACAATCGTGGATAATAGTATATTATTCAACAAGCATATGTATGATGAGGGCTATTATTCACGAAGGTTAATTTTGTCTCAAGCGTACGGAATGGCATAATTAACCTGAGTGAATGATAGCTCATTATATGCGAGTAGAATACTATACTCTGTGTACGACTACTATTGTCTTTGATATATAAATTTATTTTTAACATCTGTTCTATCATTATTCATTTGACATTATTAAAATAAAAAATTGAAGATACCTGTTAAATTAATTAATTGTTCACGACTATTGTACTTTCTCAAGCAAAACGATAATTATTTTTCACACCAGTGAATAATAGCGGTGAATAACCATTATCAACTGGTCTAAAGTTCCTTATACGTTATATCGCGTACCCTAGGAACTCTAGACCAGTGAATTATGGTTATTCACTGCTATTATTCACTGGTGTGAAGAATGACTACCGTTTTGCTTGAGGAAGTACATACATGTATTATAAATATTGTATACAACAATCGTGGATAAAGCAACATTCTAATAAGGAACTCTGTGGAATCGTTGCCAAATCGACAATTTATGAGGATTATTCGGATAAATGTTTTATGTCATAAAAATTTCGCATTAAAACTTCAACGGCCATTGTGAGTTACAACAAACAAAAATAAAGAATACGAATTGACAGGGGCGTACGCAGAAATAATCTCAGGGAGGGGCAAGTCACAATAAATAATGTACATTATTCAGAACATATAAAAAAATTGTTTTTGCACGACCTACCAGCGATTTTACACCGACAAAAGCGGGAATACAGGGTATACAGAGTAGGCACTCTCTAGGCTAAAAAATTTTCCGGGATTTTTCTGGCAATGAATCAACCACTATGTTTGCAGCAGCTTCTTCAATAGTTTTTCCACAAATTCCTGCAATATTAATTGAAAAAACTTTGGAAAGCAATTAGGAAAATATGCTACCACACTTTTTCGATGTTCACAAAAAGCAATATGGCTACTCTTCTTTATCGGTAGTCATGATAATCAAACTTCATTTTGTGATCATTGTGTTCAGATTTCCATTATCATATTGACAATAATTGATTTTAGTATAAGATTCATTCAATTAAAATCGTCGAGTCGTGCAAAAAATAGTACATAAACCTCGGAAGTGAGTTATTTCTTCCCTCAGTGCATTGTAGCACCCTGTGGCTACAAAACCACCTCTGGAAAAATCATGCACTTTACTCTCTCGATATATAATCTACTATTATTCTACATAAAACATGGAATAAAAAATAAGAATATTAATTGAATTGACATCACATAGTGATGTTTACAGCCAAAATTACAATAAAAAATTGCACGTGATGATAATCATGATCTTGTACGAACAAAAATGGCATTCCTATAGAGTCTTGAGCAAATTTATCAATATCTTCGTTGATAAAATTAACTCTTTATTATATATCTATAAGATGTCAATGAATACTAATTAAACAAAGTCTCAGAAATCACTATAATAAGCGCTAATCACAATAGGAATTGAATGAAGCAAATGAATCTTGTTCAGAAAGTATCTGATGAGTAAAGACCAGGCGCTAGGGGGGAGCGAGCGCCCCCCCTTGTCTTCCCCTCCGGACGCCCCTGCGAATTAATATCAGAATAACGTGGCGGCACAGCGAAGTTTCTTGGTGGACAAGCAATTATGATAGTAAGAAATATTATTTTCCTACAACTGTAAAAAAACTGCACTTTTTCAATATGGTTCTGTGTGCCTAAAGTGTACATGCAATTTTTCAATATCAAAATACTGTTTCATCATTTCACTGAAAAGTGTGAAAAAAGTACACTTGGATGCAAAAGGGGCTCATACACTGCGTTGTTGGTAGGCTGTTTTGTTCGACGCAATACCGAAATGTGTGGCTGCAAAATGGTCGTTTTCGCTAGCCACACACTACACATTTCAGTTTTGCGTCATTTTTGTCCACCAACAACGCAGTCTATGGGCTCCTTTACGGGATTCAGCAAGGCAGCAAGCGAACAAATCAAGGCCGCTGACTTCGTATTTCGTATGGAGCGCCAGTGAAATAAGAATGGCAGCGGGAAGGAGGTACCACGATATTCTCGCGTATTAGATAATAATATGTTCTCATCTCAATATGATTTGATCAGCGAACGCTGAACGCGAGCTGGATGAACGATCTATTCAAATTAGCCGAAGGTGGCTCGCTGGCTATTTCGTCTTCAAAAACCAGGTTTATCAATGAAGTGACATGAAATGAGTAAATGTACTTGATGATAATTGCGAAGTATCATTCAATCATTTGCATCATAAGTTGAATGAGGTTTTCTTCTTTGTTGACAGTTGTAGAAAAAATAAAATTACCACTTCATACGCACTTGTCACATGAATAACATTCGTAGTTTGTGTGATTATTAATGGTTTGACGATTTTAATGTGATTTATTGTCTGTTGTTTTTGCGTGTCATTCAGTATAAGTTATCTGAATCAGAATATTTTGTAGATAAATATGGTTCAACAGTGTCAAATTTGCCCGAATACAGGGTATTTCACAATGGATAGAACATTTATTGGAAGTATCTGACAGATCATTTCGAAAATTTATCGGCGTGGATGATCAAACATGCTCTGTCTGAAATATTTTCGTCAATACAGTTATTGCCGCTTGTATCACAACAAAATAGTACAATTATTTGAGTTATACCGAGCGAGCACAAAAACATCTCAGAGATGTTAAAAGTACGAGATTTCGAAACATTGAACCTCCACTGCGATGTTCTGTTCACACATGAATAGAACTATTATAGAACAGCCGATGTCCGCCGCAGGCGGCAATTATCGAGATGTCCTTGATATGTCACAAAACTACCTTCTCCCTAGTTCTTTTTAAAGCCTTTTCATGGACACAACAAAACATTTTCAAATCGCTGTAAGAAAAAACATGTTCGATGTACTTTTCTGAAGCCTTTTGTCAAAATGAACTTTTGCATTAGGATTCCATTTACCTTGAATGAAAAAATGCATAAAAAATAGATTGAACATAAAAATATTTTCTTGATATGAAATTACCTTCTCAATCGGTTTCTGAGTAGTGCTTACTACACACAGACATATAATTGGAAATAGGTTTCCCAATTTTTGAAATGTTTTCCACAATGCATAATTTTGCAACTGCGGAGAAGCTGTGTATTGATAAATTCGTACTTTTATATATTGATTACACTGAGGCACCGAACAACACATCTTGCATCTGATGGTCATTATTACAAACTAAATAAGTCTTCTAACACAATGAACTTCACCAAATTCCTTTCTGTTCGTTAGCAGCGTGATGTAAGCGTGACACGCTGCAAACGCGAATGCCAATCGCGAACAAGAAGAACAAATTCGAAAACAAATCAGAATTCATCGTATTGTGACGTAAGCATGAGACATTGTGGTGGGCAAACAAAGAAAGGGCACAAAAGAACAAAAACAATACTTGAAATATCCTTCTAAGACCTCTTTGGGAAGTGCATTTTATGCCTCAAAAAAACATCCTTATGCCTACATTTCTAAAACATCCCAAAACATCCCAGGGATACCTCTCAGTAGGCAAACAAAGAAATGCCACAGAAGAACAAAAACAATACTTCAATATCCTTCAAAGACCTCTTTGATTAGTGCATATTACTTCTCAAAATAACATCTTCATGCCAACATTTTCAAAACATCCCAAAACATGTCAGGGATGTTTGTGCTCGCTGGGTAGCTGCATGAACCTGGACCTCAGTTTCAGGATAATACAGCTCTATTGGGAGGCTCAGAAGTGATTTTTCCTCCGGGTACTCATGAAAATGACTGATACTCAGTTGTTTGGAATCCGAGATTAAATTGTTGAAAAATATGCATACAAAAAAGTTTGAGCAATATATTTTCAATGTAGTCTCACCCTCTGTATAATACACTCCTGAATGGAATTTTGAAATTATTTCATTTTAACCGCATTGGACATAGAAAGTTTCGTTCTTTTGATTGTAGATTGTAGATTGTAGATTGTAGATGGGTCGTATAGGCTGGGAGACCTCTCGATCACCGCGACTTAGAAGATCTATTGTGATTACCCCTATCTAGTTTTGGTCCTCTAACCCTAGACTTCTGATGAAGCCTACGATTTTCCTGACGGTTGAATTTTCCACTTCAGCAGGGGTGAGATAGACCTGTTCTAGGTGGTTCAGCCTTTGGCGGACTAATACTTCACATGATGAGCAAAGTATGTGTTCCGCAGTTTCGGTCGCATTGTTACAAAAGCGGCAAGTGTCAGTCTCCGCCAGGCCCATCTTTTTGAGGTGGTACCTCAGAGGGCCGTGTCCTGTGAGAAAGCCTGTGATAAGCTTTAGCTCTGGTTTGCTGAGGCTGAGTAGCTCTTTGGCTCGGTTCTGCGAATGGTTGATGAACCTTTTCGCTTGTCGTTGACCTGGAGTTGCTCTCCAGTAGGAGGATTTTTCAATTTCTTGCCATTTCCTGAG